TCGCAAACTAGCGTTTTTGGCTCTGACGACCTCTGTCACATGACAGACGAAATTTCAGTTTCGTTTAATCCGAGTCGCAGTAATTTGAGCCGGGGACTTCTTCTCACACTCCAAAGATGATAACTCCAAGGAAATCCGCATTCGGCCTACAGTAAGTCCAATTTACCAATCCCTTTCACTCAAACCCTCACATGAAATGAAATGTAGGTCAGCATCAAGGTGAAAAATGATCCTCACATGTAGGTCAATAAGGGTTCTATGAAGATATTCTTTAATATCATAATCTGGCATTTGTTTGGTATTGAGAAGCCGAACTTTCACAGATCGCACTAGACGAGGGTTTTCTTGTTCGCATAGCATCATTTTTTTCACCTAGTGACTATCAATTCCATTGCTTATGTGGATAACAATCCAACAATTTACCCATTGAGTTAGCCCGCAATAGATAAAATGTCAGTCATATCTGAACTTTTATTTTGAGGATATCTTTGTTTGTCTTGGAAGGGTCACTTCCTACATATACATATCAATGCATATAGGCATACATGTATTAATATATCTATTGCTATATATATATGTGTGTGTATGTGTGTGTGTGTATGTATACAAAGAGATTGAAGCTTGGAGGATAGGGGTAAGATCGTGCTTTGTATGATTAAAACTGCCAACTTCAAATGATGACGTGGCCTCTTGGAGTCAGCCTTATATATTCTATCTAATTATCCATACATGCATATAAACGTAAGCCAAAATGAATCGAAGCCAGCTCTTCACATTTGCGCAAATGTACATTTGACGGCTTGTTCCCTTGCCCCTGTATATAATTATATTTATATAGATGGACATAGAACATAATCCGTCGTATCAGTGAATGTATCGATTTGGAATAGTAATTGGCCTCTCTCCATCTCCTTTAAGCTATCTCTAGGTCAGTTTGCTCAGTCCTCCGAGGAGGGTTGGAGCTGAGACGCCCTCGGGGGAGTTAATATATGCGAGGGAGATAAATCGGGCTGACAGGACGCAGCTGGAATCGGTGACGAGGTCGTGAATGCTGTGACGGTGGGTTTGACGTGGAAGTTGATGGCTGGCTAAACGGGGCTGGGGCGACCAAAGACGCGCTGAATACGAAGACTAAATAGGTCAGCATTAAGGATGATGGCCTCTAGAACTTGAGTACAAACTTCGCCCAATTCCGTCGGCCGAATCGACTCAACCGGACAGGTGGGGAGAGAGAGCGAGTTTGTTTTGAGTCATGTATCAACCGAATAGCCGTTTACTTCCTCTTCGGTTTCACCTGTCCACAACGCTCGTCGACGCAGAACATAACCTACATCCTCAACGTGGCTACGGAGCAGCATCAGCACCACCAGTAGACGACAGTGCTTTCCTGTTGGTACAGTCTGGGTGACAATGTCTCCTTCGATACTGGTGAAAATGTGCCAAGAGGTCTAGGCCAACTGGGTTGCATAATGTGGAGGACTTTTCCCACAATGGCATAAATAGGCCTCAAGTTTCCGCTTGATTATAGATAGGAAGAGAAACTTGGTTTCGATGAATCTCCTGAGATAACATTGTTTCGAATCAAAGTGTATGAAGAAGAGATTCGTTGGTCGATCTCACCAGATGAGGAGCGATGAAACTCGTTGTACCGCAGCCCTTTGGCTATTATACGATATTCATGTTGATGAAGCCCACGAGACTTTCTCGCTCATTTCGGGTGAAAACGTGCTGAGCTTTCGTCCATCATATGATGGACATCTACTTCTCATATAGACTCAATCGGGCCAAAAAATTAAAAACCTAGATAGATCGAAATAGAGTGGTTTGGTTAATTTTCTTTCATACTGATCCTGTTATTTTTGCTCGATTGTATGAGTATGAGTATTTGTGCGTGTTAGCGTCTATATGCAATACGGTT